AAATGCTAAATGGTGAATTTTTAATTTATTTTATAAAATTTGCATGGTGCAAAAAACCAAAAAATATTGTTTGCCTTAAGAGATGGGTGAATTTTTAATTTATTTAATAAAATTTTTAAAACTCATAAGGTCGTGATGGAACTGTAGTGCGTGTCAACTATATATAAACCGTATGACTATATTTCAAGGAAAAATATATAAATGTTTCTATAGTCCATATAGGATTGTTTCCATTGTCCCACATTGAATTAATTAAAAGTCATACCAAAGTTAACAGAAGCAACCCACAGCCAAATGCTGTCATTCCTTCATCCTCATATAGCTCTATTTATGTAGCTATTTCAGAGCAGGGGCACAATGGAAGCAGCTCTTCTGAAACTGACCCAACTACTCCGGAGTCATATCACAATCCAAACTACACGCGGTTTATTGAAGAGAATCGGGCTGCTATTCCTATTGGCGATCCTTATGCACCTTACACCCAATCTTAGAGACCTTTGTTTGTTGCTCACAACAAAAGACACATCTCTGCCCTGAAGAATTCCATACTTAGAAAAGCTATGCGGGTCATCAACAATAGACTGCATTAATGCATCCTTGAAGTCCTCTCTGTTGGAAAACTTCTGCCCAACCTTCCATACAAATGAGCTAAAATCTGTATGCTTAGACACTAACAGCCCTAACCTTCTTTTCCTCCCAGGAATCAACTCCTCTTCATCACCACTGTTGGGAGGGGTATGAATTTCTTCATCACTGTCTTCATAATCACTCTGAGCCCCAGTAGCTACACTTTCCCCGACCTCTGTCCTATTCTCTGTATTTTCTTATATGCTCAAACCCCTAGCAACCTCCAATTGTATTTTCCTTGCAATGTCAACTAGCTAGGCAGTTGTATCCCTAACCCTCTACCTAGCTATATTGTACTCCTGATCTCCACTATCAGACTGATATTGCATATCTTCATCTAAGATCTCTTCATGTTCCCTCTCATACTCCTCCTCTAACTCCTCTAAAGCTTTAACCTCTAATTCTAAATCAAAACCACCAGCATCTGCTCCCTGGTCCCCATCTGACTCCACATCCTCATCACTTTCATCTGTGTAAACCTCTCCAAATAAAGGCTTAGAGCTCATTCCCTTGCCCTTGTCAACCAGTGGGTTGTATGGAGGGTCTTCACGGTCACTCTCAGTGCTATATTCTGGAATCAAGTCATTAATTGGGATGGGGCTATCTAGCCTTGAATCTTCCCACTCATAGGAGTGTACTGGGTTAGCTTTTGTGTTTGTGGTTGCTATGATAGAAGAGAGAGTGGGGAGAGGTGTTACAGTTGGTGAGCTAGGTTTTATAACATATTTAACTCTAAAAGAGCTTTGGTTGGATAAGGTGTTGGTAGGTGGAGTGGAAACAGATTATGTGGGAGCATCTTTTTTTTTTTTTTTTTTTTTTTATCTTAACAGTGGGAGCATCTTTTTTTAACTCATTTGTTTTTGGCTTTACTGAGCTGTCAGGGGCTTTTTAGGAAGGCTCATTAATTGTCAAAGGCTAACTTTTCTTTCTTGGACTTGATTTAACTTGTGGTCCCCTAGTTATTGGTAGTTTTTTGCTCTAACTGTTTTGGGTTGGTTTTTTTTGGCAGAAGCCTGTAGCTCTGGGGGAAGGCTACTGGATCATTGTCATCATGCATGGCATATACCTCAACCCTCTCGTACTTCTCTCCCACTTTTATCATATCCCTCATACTTTGATCATCTGTAACCCTCCTCAAACCATCCACCATACTAAATCCAGGAACCAAGTATAAAAACCCTTTTATTCTCCCATCATATTTGGCACACTTCATAACCAACTCAACCAAATAAAAGGAGCACAGTTCATCAGAGTCTATACTAAAAGTTCTCCCCTCCCCATTCCTATAACGCAACTGCTCATTGTTACCAGCCTTAAACACACCTCCATGCAACATTTTCAAGGTAATATTACCCATACCTAAATTAAGCACACAATAAAAACCCAGACTTCACAAATCAAACACCACTAACATTAACAAACACATAAAGCGCAAATTTTTGGCCAACAAAACAACAATTCACAACCATACTGAACAAATACATTGCAATTACACTAAAAAATTCATCAACTTGCAGTTCAATTGATTAGGGTTCGAAATTTAGACGCAATGAATTTCATATTACAGGCAAAAGTTAGGGTTTAAAAAGTTACCTAAAATGGAAAAACTTAGGGTTTAGCTGTCGCAATTCCGCCAAAAATGGAAGCTTGAGACTTTACTGAAAGGTACGAAAGTTGTTGAAGCTTCAATAATGGTTGTTGAACTACTTCAAACACAATTTTAATTGCTCTGTATAAGAAGTTAAGAGGAAGGAGGGAGAAATTTCAGAAATAACATAGGGTGGGTGGGAGAGAGATGACCTGTCATGTTTAAGAGAGGGAAAATTAAATACCCAAGTCCACGTCACAAGTCTTGACCTTGTTAGCCGGTTTCATGTAAACTGAGACCAATAAAAAAGATCGGGGGGTAAAGGTGGGATTATTAAAAAATAATCCAAAGGTGGGATTACTTTTAGCGGACGGGCAAAAGGTCGGATTATTGCGGGCAATTTTTTCAAAATTAAAATATATATTGATATCCAAACTTAGTCATATAATTTCACAGTTGTGATAATATAAAAAATTATTTGTCAAAATCATGCATTGTACATGTCACTTTAGGAGTTCAGGATAATGTTTTTTCCATCCATGACTTTTTATACTACCTCTGGTCCAAATTACTCGCAACTTTGGGGTTTGTGAGATATAAAATTTTCCAAAGTTGCCAGTAATTTGAATCGGAGGTAGTATTAAAAAAATATATAAATGAAACCAACTACTTACTCCCTCCGTCACTTTTTTACATTCCTATTTCTAAAATTATACTGGAATTAAGGAACTTTAAATAAAACAATGCAAAGAACAATAAAACAAAGTACAATGGGAATTACAAGACATTAATTGATGTCTTTGAATAAAACAAAGATTGAATAATATAAAATGATGCACATGTCATCAATCCTTTGAAAAGAAAAAAGGCTAATAACATTTTTTGGTGAAAAATAAAAGGAGCAATCATATTCATCGATCTAAAGTAATGTACATGGATTCTGAATTTTTAAAGGCATTATTAAGAGTGGGAATGAGAAAATAAGAGAGAGAAAAATAGATAAAGCATTAATTACAAAACAGAAATAGGGATAATTTGGGATATTTAGTAAAAATTTACTTACTAAAGAGGAAAGTAGGAATGTAATGTTGAAATACCCAAAAAAAAAAGCAGGAATGTAAATAAGGGACGAAGGGAATACTATTTACTACTTTGTATTTACTACTTTGTATTTACTACTTTGTATTGGGGATTATAGTCACCAGATTCACTTATCCACGCATATTTTTTTATCTATATATAATAAAATATCTTTCATTAAATTTGTTACTTCCTATATACTATATTACAAATATTATGAAATATATTACGTACATTATACTAAAGATGAAACTAAACAAGATACTTGGCAACATATTAATAAATATTTTCCCTCCAAAATTACTTGCTTTTCAAAAACACTGTTACATAAAATATTAAAAATGAAGTTAAATTATACTTCCTCCTATCCTTTTTAGTTGACACGTTTCTTTAGTCACGTTTTCCAATGCACAATTTCAACCATTCATATTGTTAGTTACCGATCAGCAAAAATTATAAAAATTTAATATTTTGAACATCATGAAGAATCTAACAAGATCCCACATGACTATATTTTACATTATGTATAAAGTACAAAACACGGTAAAAGGGGAGTGTGTGAATAGTGCTAAATTCAAAACATGTCAAAAAAAAAAAAAAACCAAGGTAGTAACTTTTATTTTGTAAAAAATTTTAAATAAACTTGCTAAATTGTCAACTTTCTCATTGTAGTTGTTACATGCATAATTAATTTCATTCGCATATTTTATTTTTAAAAAATATATATCATAATTTTTATTTGTAAGTCGATTCATATTATATATATATATATATATATATATGTATATATATATATATATATATGTATATATATATGTATGTATATATATTTATGTATGTATATATATATATATATACATATGTATATATATATATATATATATATTTATTTTGATCTTCAATTACATCGTATTCTTCAAGTTTTTTTCAATCATTGAGGTAATTTTGTAATTATATTTGTATTTTGTTTGTTTATTTTGATTGTATTGTTTATTTTGAGCTGAGTTTTTCGATTTAGGGTTTTTTATTGTAATTTTTCTTAATTTTTTCTTATCAATTGTTCATTGAATTATTCTATACAATTTAATGTTTGATTTTGGGTTTTATTTTTACGATATTGGTTTTTAATTCCTATTTTATGGTTTTACACTTACGGATTCAATGTAGTTGTTTTCTGCATATAGTTGGTATATTGCTTGCTGTTATTAATTTAGTAGTATAATTTGTTGTTGTTTTAAATTTACTTTTTGCTTTCAGTCATTAACTTTTCATTATTAGTTTTACTTAATTCTTATAACTTCATGTTTTTTAGTTTCTTCAAGTTTTTTAATTTTTTTTATTTACTTTATGCTTTGAGGCATATACTTTTTAGTATATCTCTAATACTACCTCTGTTAATTTTTATGAGCAACTTTGGGGTATTATTTGTGAGATATAAAATATTCCAAAGTTGCACATAAAAATTAACGGAGGTATTAGTTTTTATTAGTATATTTTTTAAAAATAATGTTTACTTCTAGTTATAGTTTATTTACTTTTATTTACTATTTATTTACTTTTTCCTTCTATTCATTTACTTTTCAGGAACATGTCTGAAAGCGTAAAGCATATTTTTTAAAAATATTGTTTACTTTTAGTTATAGTTTATTTACTTTTATTTATTATTTATTTACTTTTTCCTTCTATTCATTTACTTTTCAGGAACATGTCTGAAAGCATAGAGCATTGTTCTTCTTCTGTCACTACTGAAGATAACAATGTAAGAATTTTTAAAACAGGCACTCAGCCTTTGCTTCCTAAAATATATTATAATTTTGGAGGTGATAAAGAGTATATGCCATGTTGTTCTTCTGAAAACAAACTTTTTGTTGGAATGATATTTGATACCCTTCAAGATGGTATTGCCTTTTATTACAAATATGCTAATCAGTGTGGGTTTAAAGTCCGTTATAGTACTACTAAATCACAAAAGAATAAGAATGATCCTACTAGTAAAGGAGTTACTATAATCAAATATTTATTATATAGCAAAGAAGGGTATGTGAAAAATAACAAGAAATCTTGTAAACAAGTTAAAGGTGCTTGTTTAAAGAGAAAGACTGTGAAGAGAGTTGGTTGTCCTGCTAAGATAAAATTTAGGTTTTGTACTGGTGGGAAGTGTATGGTGTATTGTTTTTATGAATCTCATTCTCACCCTATTTCTACAATTACTAGGCAGGTTACTAAACATGAAGTTGGTTTAAATTTTGCTCATAAGAAGTTTATTTTTGACAACTCAAGGTTAAATATAGGGGCTGTTATGTCTTATAGGATCATGAAAGAACTTTGTGGTGGGTTTTAAAATGTCAGGGGCGGTAAAAATGATTTCAAAATTTTTTCTAGGGACTTGAAAGTTTATATCTCTAATGTTGATGGTGCAATGTTTGTTCAGAACCTTGAACAAAAAGTGAAAACCACTAAAGGGGGTTATTATTTTGATTACTATGTTGATGAAAGTAGGCATTTGACCCGTATCTTTTAGGCTGATGCTATTGCTAGAAGAGATTATCAATTATCTGGGGACTCTTTATATTTTGATTCTACCTATGATACAAATAAATATTCATTGGTTTCTTGTCCTTTTACTGGTGTTGATAATTATAAAAGACGTGTTACATTTTGTGCTGCTCTATTATCTAAAGAAGACATAAATTCTTTTGTGTGGATATTTCAAACTTTTTTGAAGTGTATGGGAAGAGAACCCTCTTGTATTATCACTGATCAAGATCCTACAATGGGTATTGCCATAGAAAAGGTTTTTTCCAAGACTAAACATAGGCTATGTATGTGGCACATAATTAGGAAGGTACCTGAAAAGGTTGGAACTGCTTTTTGTAATGAAACTGATTTCCTGAAAAAGTTAAGTGCAGTAGTTTGGGATAGAGATATTGATCCTCATGTATTTGTTGATGGCTGGAATAGTGTTATGGAGGAGTTTAACCTTGTTGATCATGAGTGGTTTGCATACATGTTCATGATTAAACATCTTTGGATTCCTGCATATTTTATAGACTTATTTATGGGTGGGTTATTGTGTTCTACATCTAGGTCTGAAGGTGAAAACAGTTTCTTTTGTAATTTTACAAACCCTCATGTGACCTTTGTTGAATTCTTTGTCCGTTATGAAACTGCTCTTGATGCTCAAAGGCATGTACAAGATGAGTTGTATAGGCTTAATAAATTGAGCCTCAACTGGTTACTAATTTACACTTGGAAAAGCATGCTGCTGTTGTTTATACTCGTTCCATATTTTATGATTTTCAAGAAGAATGCCAGGAAGCCTGTTTTTCATGTGGTGTTGAAAGTTGTAGTTCTCTTTATGGAGATGGTGTGGAGTTTTCTGTTATTGTTGATCATGAGAAAAGGAAAATTTTTGACTTGGCAACATATGAGTCAAGTTGTACTTGTAGAATGTTTGAGAGTCAAGGTGTTTTATGTAGACACATTTTGTTTGTTATGAAAGGCAAGTGTATACGTGAAATTCCTGATGCTTATATCTTGAATCGTTGGAGAAAAGATGTTCTGAAGAAAGCTTCTGTCATAGATGTTGCTCCTGATGATGCTTCTAAGTATGATAAGAAGAAGCAATTGGTCAGTGATGTATGGTCCAAGATTTTCAGTTGTCTGAGTTTAACTTACCAATCTGAGGATGATTTATCTGAGCTTATTAGGACATTATCTTCATTTGAGGAGCAGATGATATAAAAGAATAATCCTGAAAATGCACCTAGTTCAAAAGAGGTGAAAGATGCTGATATTCAGGTTTTGGTTGGGTCAAATGAAGTTGATGTAAATGTCTTGCCTCCAAATCAGTGTCTTAATAAAGGTTCTGCCAGAAGTTCAAAGAGGTTGAAGAGTGCAAAACAAATATCTACTGAAGAAAAATCTAAAAAAAGGCAGAACTTGTAGAGCTTGTGGGCAATCTGGTGTTTCCCATGACAGTAGAAACTGTCCAAACAAGTAGTCTTTCAGGTATTTTACTTTTAAGTGTGCTCCATTTACTTTAAACTTCTATTTATTTACTTTAATAGTAACTTCATTTACTTTTTATTTTGTGCAGGTGATATTATACTTGGTATTTTTTTATTTGGTATTTTACCTCTTTACGTTTTCTATTTACTTTACGTTGTAATTTATTTACTTTATATTCTAATTTATTTACTTTAATTTGTGACAAATAACTGATGTTTATTTTTATGCAGTTATTTTAATACTTGGAAATTAGAAGACGTTTTGGAAGATCAAGATCAAGATTTAATGAACAAATATTTTTTATTATTTTAATTATTGTAATATTTTTACATTTACTATAAGTAATTGTACTATAGAACTTAAGTTTAGTTTGTTTACTTTTAGCTATTATATTTTAACTTTATGTAATATTTCATTTACTTTTATCATATTTTATATCATATGAATTATTTGATTTATATAATGTTCTTACATACAAAATTAAAGATAATTTCTTGTATTCTTCCCTTTGTCCTAGAATACTTGTTACCATATCCATTTTTTGTTCTAAAATACTTGTCACATTTTTCATGGAACCCGAGTTGACAAGAGTATTTGATACCGATTTTGAACATGGATTGACGTGTAAATGACCCGACCCAAATATAACCCATATATTATTGACTTGGTGATTTCAACTTGATTATAACCCGTAAAATTATTGACTTGAACCAAATTTGAATAAAATTCTAGAATGAGTTAATTTTCTAACCATTAATTATTGACTTTACTTGAATGTAATTTGACCGGTTATCAAACTCACCTAAACTTGTACCAAATCAGATACCGATTTTGAACATGAATTGACGTGTAAATGACCCGACCCAAATGTAACCCATATATTATTGACTTGGTGATTTCAACTCGATTATAACCCGTAAAATTATTGACTTGAACAAAATTTGACTAAAATTCTAGAATGAGTTAATTTTCTAACCATTAATTATTGACTTGAATGTAATTTGATCGGTTATTAAATTCACCTAAACTTGTACCAAGTCTAATAAGATGTAAGGCTGGTTGTAATTCGATTAACATAGGCAGGATGTTAGTGAGGCAAATGAAGTAGGAGACTTGACCCATCCCCAGTTTGCTATATGATCACATTCGAGTTGGTTAAACACTTGAGGTCAAACACTTCGGGTCAAACTCTTTGGGTCAAATTCGAGTTGGTCAACTTCAGGTCAGGTGAGTTCGGGTGTTTGGTCAACATTATGTCAACTCCATTTTCAAGTCGGGTATGGGTTGGGTTGGGTTACTTTCGGGTTTTGGGTCATTTTTCAGGTTAATGATTTTGGGTCAATTTTGGGTCATGCGTCGGCTCATTCGGGTCAGATCAATGACTTTGACTTGAATACTTTTTCCCATTTCTCCCTTTACTTTATATCCATTTTCTATTAATTTAACAGTATTTTTTTGTACTTTAAAATTGAACACCTTATATAGGGAATATTTCAAGCATTAATCCCTAGCTTGAACCCCACTGTGATCATACACTAAAGTGCGGTGGCGTCCAAAGGGAAAGAAGATAGAGCAAAAGAGTCACCAACAAGTTTTTTAGGAACTTGTAAACCGTTCACGAGGTGAAGGTTACACCCCTTAACGATCCAAGAGATCGTCAACTCCAATAGGTCTTGAACCATGACTGGTAGTTCGGGGATGAAGGTACAAATCCAACCTAAAAGAGATTGAACCTGCCCTAATAATAGGCCTCTACTTTATTCTAATCGTATTCATGAGCGCTTTCTGACTAACATGTAATCAATAGAATTACCCTAAACCTGTTTTTCATTGTTGGTTGAATATTAATGCACAAATAAAACTATTGATTATCTTATTAAGTGTGATTACAAATAGCAATTCCCTTTAAATATGCAAAAAAGGCGTGATCAAGCAATAACAATAAAAATCAAGCAACTTAATAATAATCTATATAATAATATATAATTATAAATATTAATAATAATCAAAACAAAAATAATCATGAATCATGTTAAAGCATAATAATAGTAGCAAGATCCTAGGCATGATACTAACAAGATTAATAACAAACCTTAGCATGTCACTAAACAATAAAAATCAAAGCTTTAACCCTAATATGATACTAACAATCATAAATATTAGGAAGAACATAGGAAGCATCATACTTTTAATCATACTTAGTACTACCTCCGTTACAGGTTATGTGCAACGATTAGAAATTTCCCCTCTCTGCTTTATGTCAAATCGTTGCACATAACCTGTAATGGAGGTAGTATTAAAGTTACCATAGACATGATACTAGGAATTTATTGTTGTCACCCTAAACATCAAATTAAGAAAAACATCCTAACATGATACTAGGAATTAAAATAACAACCTAAGCATGATTTCTATATCATAATATCAATTAAACCATTAAAATTACTTACTTGGATGCCTCGTACCTCTTTCTAATAACAAAATATACACGTTAGTAACTTCAAGGAAAATAATAAACAACAATTAAATTAAATAATTGAAAGATAGATTTGGGACCAAACCCTCAGAAATTAAACCTTTCACGTCTAGGGCGAAGGAAACTTCGAATATGGCTAGGTGTATCTAAGTCTTACGAATGCGGAATTTTGTATTTTAGAAAAAGGCTAGTTGAGAAAAGAGAGAGAGAGAGTAATCAAGAAAATCTTGATGAGAGTTGGTGAATGAAAATAGGGTTTTTAGAAGGCTATTTATAGAGAAAATCAGCCAAAAAGATAAAATATCAAAATAGAGTTCTGACGCGTAAAACGAGGTTAGCGCCAGACGCTGACATTAGCACCAGGCGCTAACGCTAGCGCCAAGCGCCAAGCTTAGCGTCATGCGCTAAAGCTGGCGTTTGGCGCTAACTTAATTATTGACGCATTTTCTTAAAATCAGATAGAAATTGCCATACAGGAGGATAAAATCGTATTTTCCTCAAAAACATTCTTTTATTCTAATAAAAACACTAAAAATTCAACAAAATTCAATTTATCAATGCTAATTGAATTAGGAATCAAAAGAACCTTCTAGAAGAATCTAGAAGACTAAAATCATTCCTAATGCATGAATGATAAATCTATATTAGGCCCTCCTCTAGATCATTGGCCACATATAAGGCTCAAATCGGGCCCAGTTTGGTAATTTGGCCATAACTTCCTCAATATTCATCGGAATTGGGCTTATAATATGTCGTTGGAAAACTCTTTTCAAACCGTATTCAACTACACCACTATTGGACCCATATCATGGACCAACCAAACTGGATTGGCTGTTTTCTTAAAATAGGTTTTCAAAAATAGAGAGAAGAGAAAAGAAATTAAAACTATCCGCAACACTAAACTTTCCACACTTTCACTTCATTCGATTATTATTCGACGTGAAAGGTACTCATCACTGGGTTTGGTTTTGGGGAGACACAAATGGGTGTCTACGAAAGCCCCCACTTTGACTGAGTTTGGAGAAACGCACGTTTCGAAAACAAAAGTCAAAGTAGCGATACGGACGGAGAATGATTCAGAACGTTCTGCGATCCTAAATCACACTTGTAACGCCGATGCCTGCAAACTAGCGTTATTTAAACAGATAAAAGTGTTAAGAAACGCGTATCTTGCACCGTCGAGCACACGTCTCTAAAGTAACCGATTTGCTGATTTATTTGCTGTATTGATGACCTCCTGCAAGCTAGAGAATGACATCCCGCTTGAAGACTGCTACGCTTGTAACTGCCTCCAATTCCGCCATGATAATCTTCAACAAGCTAGGGAACACTATCGAAGATTGCTTTGCTTGAAACTATCCTCTTCCGCTTTGTGACCATCTTCCACATCTTAGGGAACACGATCGAAGACAACTTCGCTTGAAATCACCTTCAGTTGTTTGTGACAACTCTCCGCAAGCTAGGGAATGCTGCCGAAGATATCCTCGCTTGAAGCTATCCTCATTTGTTGCGATAATTTTCCAAAGGAAATTACCGAAGACCTCCGCTTGTCGATCTTTAAAAAAGCTCGCTTGAACTTTGCTTTTGCTATGCTTGTACGTCGGCGCTTTTGCTGCTTGTGAACCTGTATGTCGGTGCCTTTTACCGAATTATGAACCAGTATGTCGGTGCCTTTGCCGAATTATGAACCAGTATGTCGGTGCCTTTTGCGATGAGCCAATGATTAGGAGCTTTAAGCTAAGTGAGACGATCTTTCATCAGATCGATCACTTTACGTAATCAACCCAATTACTAAAAATCGTGTCAAATTTCTCACAGGGGCTAACTGGCGTACCAAGGAACCCAAAAATATACTGCACAAGATTGGAACAACCGTACTAAGTGGCTGGACGTTCTGGCGCTGCTGAAATAACATCAGCGCCACTTATCTGGCTGTAGCGTTAGACGCTAGAGCTAGCGTCAGGCGCTAAAGCCTATCGACTGACGCCAAGATCTCACGCTTGGCTCTAGAGTCGGGTTTCCCTTAAATACCCTTCTCTTCCTCATTTCCGTTGCTGCTGTTCATGTTTCTTGCTCGAGAATTCTCAGAACTTCATTTGATTCGTTCTTGCTCGTTTCTCAACCAAATTCGCTCAAATTTGTTGCAAATCAAAGCTTATTCCATCCATTTTCTCGATCTATGTAATTTTCCTTCAAACTCACACCGATTTTAATGAATTTTGCATGTATTTATCCACGAATTTCATGAAAATTCGAA